AAAAACGAATTTTGTTTAAATTTATTTAGTAAATCACTAGACTTGCATTTGAATTATCACCTCTCCCCTAGTAAATCATTAAAGTTGCATATGAATTATACTCTCCCCCTAGTAAATCATTCAATATGAGATGTATGTTAATAGTGTTGAATGATAATGATAGGATTGATATAACTGTTATTATTATGTAGCTATATATTTTTTGTACTGTAATTGAAATTTCTAGAGCTTTTGATATATAAGTTGTAGGATTATTTCTTTAATTTAGGAACATTGGAAAAAGACAAGTGTGAATCTTACTTTAATTAGAATAGTTATCGTACAAAATATAGTAATTTCAATTTAAAGATACAGTAATATTATATTAATTTATATATTTTTTCAAGTTTAAACTTCAACTTTATACAATATATGCTTTCAAGTTCTATTTTTGTCATTTCTATTGTTTTATTTTTATAAACTGGTATTTTATAGTTTCATTAAAAGGATTATATTTTATTCAAATTTAAAAATGTTTTTGTGTTATATTCTTTTTCACCTTTTTTTTTAGTTCGTACTTGAGGTTCTGCCCTTCTTCATTATTTACATTTAATTTCTCTTCTGTTAAAATATGGTTTAAATTTAGTAAATTTTCATGACATAAAATTTACTTTATTGATCATTTGCCAACAGTTTAGGTTGTAAAATTTTATTTCACACAAGGTAAGAATAACTTTGTTTTCTGGTAACACCACTAAACGTTTTTTTGTGATTATTTTTTGTTTAACTTTATTTTTGCGTAACTGTATTTGTCTTGGCTTTTCATGGCTTGTGATGATATTGTTCATAACTTTTTGTGTATTTGTGTTTGTCATGGCAACAATATATTTTTTTTAAATTTATGGTAAAAATATGATTTAAAAAAATTGTTTGATGATATAAATGAAAATGATTTAAATGTAGTACATACAGGTATGTTTTGTAATTTATTGTGCAAGATCACTTTAGATTACTTGCAAAGCTAGTAAGCATTTCTTGATAGCACAATCACTAAAGACCAGTTTTGTTAATTGCTTACTACTATAGCTTAGTTAAAAACTTAGGTAAACAGGGGCTCTATTCATCAAAGTTTGTAATGTTTCGTATTCTTATTTATAGGAAAGAAAATTGCTTTAATATTTGATTTTGATGAATGAATTTCTTAAAGAAAAAAATATACCTACTCTTCCCATGTATCAAATTTATTACGGGCCTCAAGCGTTCAAATTATACAAATTAATTTTAGACTAAAAGAATCGGACAGTACTGTATAAATTAATTAAAACTAATTAAAAATTAAACATAAAAAACGAATATTTCCATTAAACCATCTAAAATAAATTAAATGTAAAATGACTAATATTTCCTTTAAAGTACGTTAATTAAATTTAATTATATATGAGCTAAATATAAAACGAACAGCTGCAGCACGCCATATAAGCGTAATTTAAATATAAACAAAAGCTAAAACGAATAATTTCAATAAACCGTATAAAAGTAAAATAAGAATAAACTAAAAACCAAACGAGTACCATCACTTAACCGTACAACTAGAATAAAATAAATTTAATATAAAACGAATATTTATAGTATGCCGTATTAATGTAAACTAAATAGTAAAAGAATAACTAAAATAAAACGTATATATTAATTTGCATATAAACTGAATATAAAATTAGTATCTTAAATAGACCATATAAATTGAACTAAGTAGAAACTAAATTTAAAACGAATTATTTTACTGATAACCGTATAAATAAAACTAAGTTTAAAATTACACCATATATTTGTATTTAAATACACAAAAGTTAGTCTTAAAATAAATATAAAACAAAGAACCGCATTAAAACATATTGACCAAATGAAAATTAAGCATAACACGAACAACTCTATCTAACCATGTCAATATTACCATTTTGAACCAGATCATGAACCACATCAGACCACAGAATCCATACCATCCGTGAGACATCCATGATACGCATCTATAATATATGTTTAATATGGCTATGGTTCAAAAAGCAAAGTATTTACGAATATACAGATTCATACAAATATAGACATTAAATGACATATAAAACTTTAACATTTAGAACACTATAAACTCAAAGCACAATAATTAACACAACACTTACTTATATCTAACTTAAACAACACTCACTTAACTCCAACTTAATCACTGAACAATACTCCCCTCTTAAACACCACCTCTCAATACTGGACACCTGTCCAAATATTATAATTTATCTGGCACTCCCTTGCACTTATATAATACATTTCTTCCTTCTCTTAAGACTATTACGACCTGATGGTTTCATATAAGTGGTGGAACTTTAATAGCTTCCACTGCAAAACAATAGCAGAAAGAACTTGCTTTCTTGATGTTGGCATTAGCCACATTCAATGCCTGATAACCTCTTCTGATTGATCAAAAAGTTCTTAGAGATCCTCCCTTTGCAAGATATTTTGTTGAAATGTCACACTAAGAGCATGGGTGTGCACTAGAATGTACTTGTAGACCACAAATGACATTTGACGGCTTTATATCACAGGAAAAAGCTAAGGAAAGTTCTTCAAGGTTTAGCAGATTAAAAACTTGCTTGACATTGCTATAGTTTTCCTGGAGATCTGCAGAAATGGCAATCAGTAACTGACGCTTAAAACCAGAATCTATGGCCAGAGATTGGGTGAGAAGTCGTTTTGATGGTGAAGATTGAGAAGCTGGATCTTTTTCCACGATTACAAAGCTTACTTTTAGAAAACCACCACCACGATCCACTCCCAGCTTCCTAATGTAGTCATCGGAGACGTTTCTAGTTTCAAGAACTTGCAAGTCTTTTCAGTGAATGACAAGTTTATCCATCTGATTTGTGTTCTTGTTAGTTGAAACTAGTATGAAAAAAATGAATTAAACAACTAATGCTCAAGTTTTTCCCAGAATTTTATTTTAATAGTTTTTAAAAAAGCAATTTCGATTTTTTTAAATTTTTTTGATACTGATAATTTGTATATTCTTTGTTAAACTAAAAAAATGCAAGCATTTTTTATTTTCTTACTAAGAAAACAACTAATTTTTTTTTCTTTTAATTTTATTTAGGTGCCCCAAGAAGTCCTTACGGTCTTATCACAGAGCACCGCGGATGAGCATTTGATTGAAAGTTCACACCTCCTTCCTAACCGATGTCGCAAAACTTTCTCAGAGATGGGGTTTAAACAACGGATCCTTTGTTTCTGAGGCAAGTGCGCTACCACTGCGCCACGACTGCTTGAGCTGATGCTCTATTTAACACCACCTATCAAATTTTATATAGTGAATGAAAGTAAAAGTTATAAAAAATAAGGTTTTATTGCTCTAGAGTTAAATTTATTGCAGTTTTTAATGCGGTTTTATGCAAATTAGAAAATAGATTTTCTTCCACGAACGGTGTAACCAGATTTAGGGACTTATATCCCAGTAACCACCAATGATAGTATAGTCATACCCCCAAAGGATTTTTCTGGGTCATGACATCAAGTAATATTTCACTTTTTACAACAGTGTGTTGGCTAATGATCAGTAAAGTAAATTTCAAGTCATGAAAGTTTACTAAATTTGAACCATTTTTCAACAGTAAATAAATTAAATACAAATAACGAAGAAGAGCAGAACCTCAAAAAAAAAAAAAGGAAAAAAAAAAATAGTCATTTCTAAATTTAAATAAATTAAAATCCTTTTAATGAAAGCATAAATCTTCCTAACGGTTTTCTTGCTGCTTTATATATATTTTTTTGCGTCAATTCCCAACTAAATTATAGGTTGCTTGAAGCCTTGTTGGAACATGATAAAAAAGTGAACATGATAAAAAAAAGTTTCAAAAATTATTTGTGATTTACAAATTTGCGCATCCAAAGCAAAAGTATGCCCGAATCGAGTTTTCATTGCTTCGGTGGAAAGAATTTATCAAAGCTGACGATAGAACCCTAGCTGCAATATCATATTTTGGTACATTGGAAGCTTCACCTAATATATTTACAATAAATAATATGAAAGGTTTCGTTGTTAGAGTCTACGATGATCAAAAAAGGACAGAAGATGTTTATACTCTTTTACAACTTCGTTGGTTCTTTTTTTCGATAATAAATGCCATTAATTCCGGTTTAATCTACAACGTTAGTTGACTTATCACCGTCAATTAATTATTTTCAGAAGATCCTTTCTTTTTTAGATTAAATATTGCAAACTGTAAATATCATTTTGGTTTACAAATTAAAATGTTTGTATCTTTATACAATGCGAATTTTAATATATGTACCAGCTCAATTATATTAATTCTACGTTATTTATAAAAAATGGTTATCTAGTGGTAATTTCATCAATTGACCCCCGATTAGGTAAAGTACATAATGCCCTATATCTTATGAAGTAAAAATTTCAACATATGTTTTTTATATGTTTTCAAAGGCTTTTTTAATGCTCTTTCTACTGGTACAAAATATTTGAAAAATAACGTATTTTTATTCACATAAAATGTGCAGAGTAATAGTGATAGGATATGAGGAGTAAAAAATTCCTAATTTTCGGAGTATAAAACATTTCACAAATGTAGAATAAAATTTCATATGCTAACATGTTTTTAATAATATGTGGCTATTAAAATAACCGTTTTTAAAAAGTAGCTTAACAACTCTTCAGCATTGATCAAAACATCTTGTTACTCTATGAAATAAAATTAACAGTATAAAAAATATCAATGAATTTTACTATAATAATAAAATTATATTTTTATTACAATAACAATATAACTTTAGTTTTAACACCATTATAGCATTCTGTACACGAGAATGCATTCCCCTTATAATCACAGCAGTAAAAAACAAAAATAATATATATATATATATATATATATATATATACATATATCACACAAATACATACTATAAAGTTAAAAATTTCATTCAAATTTAATAAGCATATCATAATATTTGAGAAAATTAAAATTTACTTGTTTATAGATTAGGATTCATTTTGTTCTACAGCTAGAGCAAGACCACATGTTATTATTGCTCAAAATAGAGTCTGGAACACTTTCGCACTTTCTATGATATAACATTAAGCAACTTTTGCATTTGATCATGTGTCTAATATAATAATATTCAATTTATTTATTATATATATATATATATATATATATATATATATATTTA